GGAATGTCTTCCAAGAAATTCTGGATCCATTCAGCTTCTTCACCGGCTTTATCTAAGGCTATGAACTTAGCTTCCATTGTAGAGCGGGCAATACAAGTTTGATTGGACGACTTCCAAGATACCGCTCCTCCTCCAATAGTGAATACATATCCACTTGTGGACTTAGAATCAGTTTAACCGGTAATCCAATTTGCATCACAGTATCTCTCAATCACCGCATGATATTTACTGTAGTGCAAAGCAAAGTCCTGGATATGTTCTAACTATCCCAAAACTCGTTTAATTGCCATCCAATGAGATTGACCTGGATTGCTCGTGTATCGACTCAATTTACTTATAGCACAAGTTATATCTGGTCATGTACAATTCATGATATACATTAAGCATCCCAACACACGAGCATAATCCAATTGTGATATGCTTTGGCCTTTGTTCTTTGCTAATGCAAGATTCACGTTAATTGGAGTCTTTGCAACATTAAACCCTAAGTGCTTGAATTTTCCCAAGTACTGTCTTAATATAATGAGATTGTGACAATGTCAGAATTTGAGGAGTCTTATTGATCTTAATCCCCATAATTAAATCAACAACTCCCAAGTCCTTCGTATCAAACTTGCTAGTTAGCATACGCTTAGTCGCATTTATGTTGGCAATGTCATTACTCATTATCAGCATATCATCCACATATAAGAAAACAATGACTATATGATTTGGAACATTTTTAATGTATACACATTTATAACATTCATTTATCTTAAAACCATTTGACAACATTGTTTGGTCAAATTTTGCATGCCATTGTTTGGGTGCTTGTTTTAGTCCGTAAAGGGACTTAACAAGTCTACATACCTTCTTTTCTTTACCTGGAACCACAAACCCTTTAGGTTGTTCCATGTAGATTTCTTCCTCCAAATCTCCATTTAAGAAGGTCGTCTTAACGTCTATTTGATGAATTTCAAGACCATAAACTGCAGCTAATACTACTAACATTCGTATGGACATAATTCTTATAAATGGAGAGTATGTATCAAAATAATCAAGACCTTCTCACTGTCTATACCCTTTGACTACAAGTCTTGCCTTATATTTATCAATAGTGCCATCATCTTTCATTTTCCTCTTAAAAATCCATTTAGAACCCAAAGGTTTATTTCCAGGAAAAAGATCAACCAATTCCCATGTATGGTTGATCAATGTGGATTCTATTTCACTATTGACCGCCTCTTTCCAAAACAATAATTTCGAAGAAGACATAGCTTCTTTAAATGTCCGAGGCTCATTTTCCAATAAGAAAGTCACAAAATCTGGTCCAAATAAAGTAGACGTTCTTTGACGTTTACTACGTCTTGGATCCTCCTGATTAAATATACTTTCTTTTGTTTCTTCCTAAGGTCGTTTAGATCCTTCACCAATCGACTCACATTCTTTTTTATACAGGTATATATTTTCAAAGAACTCAGCATTATCTGATTCTATAACCGTATTATTATGAATGTCGGGATTTTCTAATTTATGAACCAGAAATCGATATGCTTTACTATTGGTCGCATATCCTATGAAAATACAATCAACGGTTTTCGGTCATATTTTTACTCTTTTGGGTTTAGGAACTTGCACTTTTGCCAAACACCCCCATATTTTGAAATAATTCAAGTTGGGCTTCCTTCCTTTCCATATTTCATATGGAATGGATTGTGTTTTGCTATGGGATACTCGATTTAGTATCCGGTTAGCCGTAAGAACGGCTTCCCCCCACAAGTTCTGTGGCAAACCAGAACTTATCAACAATGCGTTCATCATCTCTTTTAATGAACGATTCTTTCTGCACTCCCATTGGATTGGGGCGTGTAAGGGGTCGTTGTTTGAAGAATTATTCCATATTCTAAACATATTTATTCAAAAGGAAATTCATATTCACCACCCCTATCATTTCTTATCATTTTGATTTTCTTGTTAAGTTGCGTTTCAACTTCATTTTTATATTGCCTGAATGCATCTATTGCTTCATATTTACTATTAAGTAAGTAAACATAGAAATATAGAGTACTGTCGTCAATAAAAGTTATGAAATACTTCTTTCCACCGCGAGATAGTATTGACTTTATGTCGCAAATATCTGTGTGAATTAAGTCTAAAGGATTTGAATTCCTTTCAACTGACTTATAAGGATGTTTAATATACTTAGATTCCACACATATTTGACATTTTGATTTGTCGCATTCAAACATAGGCAATACTTCCAAATTAATTATTTTCCGCAAGGTTTTATAATTGACATGACCCAAACGTATATGCCATAATTCATTTGACTCAAGTAAGTAGGAAGAAGCTGAAATTTTATTATTATTCTCAACAACCATTACATTCAGCTTGAAGGCCCTCGGTGAGGTAACCTTTCCCTACAAACATCTCATTCTTACTTATTACAACCTTATCAGATAAAAAAACATACTTAAACCCGTTCTTAACAAGAAGTCCAGTAGAGACTAAGTTATTTCTAATCTCGGGAACATGAAGGACATTGTTCAAAGTCACCACCTTACCAGAAGTCATTTTCATAAATATCTTCCCACGTCCTTCAATTTTGGCCGTTGCAGAATTTTCCATAGAAAGCGTCTCTTCGGGTTCAACAAGAGCATATGTAGCAAACGCTTCTCTAACAACAAAAACATGGCGAGTGGCTCCAGAATCAATCCACCACTCCTTAGGATTTCCCACCAGGTTGCATTCAGAAAGCATAGCACACAAGTCATCGATATCTTCGTGCTTTTCAACCATGTTTGCTTGACCCTTTTTCTTGTCTTTCTTTGGAGCACGACAATCTGCAGATCTGTGTCCAGCTTTTTCACAGTTATAGCAATTTCCGTTGAACCGCTTCTTGCTTGGGTTGCTTTTCGGTCCATAAGCCTTCTTCCTCTTTCTATCCTCAACAATGTTTTCTCCCATTATTGTTGAGTTTCCACGGTCTTTCTTTTCAGTAGCTTTGTTGTCCTCTTCGATTTTCAACCGAATAATGAGATCTTCAAGGACATCTCCTTGTGTTTGTGTTTCAAGTAGTTTTTGAAGTCCTTCCACAAAGGAGGCAACTTCTCAGTCATTGCTGCAACTTGGAATGCTTTATTGATGACAAGACCTTCAATGAAAATTCTGTTAGTAGAAACAATATAATTAATACTTTCAACATTAGTATTAATTTGACTTATACCTTCAGCAAGGAGATCGTGAATAATCACTTGCAATTCCTGGACTTGGGTAATAACAGACTTGCTATCTACCATTTTATAGTCTAAAAATTTAGCTGCAACGAATTTCTTTCAAGCGCTATCCACAGTTGTATTGACGTCTCCATATTACTATAGACATTATATAGATCGTCCTTTAGTCCGCTAAGAATATAATTCTTGCATAGAAATCAGAATGATTCCCCGACACGGTCACGAGAAAGCGTTCAATTTCTGGAGTTTCATCGGGCAGAACAAGAACATCTTCCTTAATGAACTTCTGCAAACTTAAAGTCGTCAAGTAGAAGAACATCTTCTGCTGCCCACCACTTGAAATCAATCTCGGAAAATTTTTTGGATTTTTCTGCCGGTGCCAATGCCGGTGTTGTTCGGCTTGTCGATGCATTGGCAGTCACCACAGGAACAGTCTTGTTCCCGTTGTCATTCGTTATTTCTATAAAAGAATGACACAAACAAACGTTAAAATCACGTAGATTTTAATCTCCAATGGAGTAGAAAACTACACAGGTTTTAGTCTCCAGAAACATGAGTATAACACAAATACAGAAAATATTAAATTCCTTAAGCTTGTTATTATTTTGTATTTGTAAAATAATTCTGGAGAAGATAAAATAACATATAAACAGAAATGTAAAAGAAACAGAATTTAATCTGAGCCCACTGAATTCACATTGTTTCCTTAAGAAATTTAATCCCCTCCTAGTACCCAAGGTTGTGGATTATTTTCTTCCAGGATAGAACGAATTACACACTGGTGTAGCGATACTTCAAACCCCGGTGTTTCAGCGAACACAAAGATCGGTAGAAAATCACACTTACTTGTTTGTAGTTAAAGCAATACAGAAGAAAGGAGGAGAAGTCAGAAATTCGTATTGAAAATCTGAGAGAATGGACTGGTATTTATAGCCAATGTTGAGCTCAAACTGAAGAGGTGCAACTTTTCAGAAGGGCTGTTTGTGTAAAACGATCATAAATTAAATGGCTTTTACAAAAAACAAAGGGCATATATTATTCCGTTGGATTTAATATTAATTTTTTGTTTAAAAAAATGAATATTTAATAACATTTCTGTTAATATTTATTATTAACAAATAAATTTGGTCCAAAAAATTAATCTTCAAATCCGAAGCCGAGCGACGACGACGACGGCGCGAGGCTTGCCTTTTTCTTAACTCTTTAAGAGCTGGAAGAAGTGTAATTGTATATATACCCATTAAAACCTTTTCCTCTTCCAATATGGGACAATGTCCCTTTGTCAAGGAGAGAAACTCAAATATTTTCAATTTCCCTCCATTTCTCATTCACCCTCTTTTAAGTTATATTTAACCTTAAATACCCAACATAACATTAGCTTCAATTGAACAAGCTCAACTTAGGCGAATCAAAATGGGTTGAGTCAATAATTGGGTGGGTCAAAAGTTACTTGGGCTAAGATGGGTTGGGTCAAGATAAACTAAAATTAAATTATAGCCCAACCCGCTCAATTCTTATCAAACTTTACTTAATATGTATTGTTTTCTTATAAATTATATAATTACTAAATAAGACTTTTTTTTTCTTTTGTTAGGTGTCATATGTAACATATCAAACAAAAATAAATATTTTTAAGATAGTTTGACAAAGCTATTCATGGATCAATTTGGGTAAAAAATTAGCCCAACTTTAAATATGTTGAGATAAGTTGGATCAAGATGAACTGAGTTCAATAAATAAGCAACTCAATAACTTTGGACGGTTCATTTGAGCTTGGGCCAAATTTGACCGCTCTATTCCAAGTCTAATAATCTCTCTCTTTTCACTTTACAATTACTTTAAAGGTTACATTACGAAGAAGCAGCGCGAATTAGTTTTAAGGGTAGACTTGTGAGGAAAGGTGCTTTGGTTTTAGAACCACCACAACCGGATGAATATCACCACCATTCTCAGCGGCAAATCATTTGAGAAATCCAGTCAACAAATTTGGCGAACCACCACTCTACCACCCACCTCAGCCGCAAGAACCACCACCTACGACCCTTGAAGGCAACACAACCTTTAAAGCCACAGTTGAGAGGGATGTACGGTTTTGTGATGAAAGGGATGAGGGAAGAAATATAACCAGTGTTTGCAAAATATTTGAAAAATAGCCCGCTTATTAAATTTGCTAAATTGGGTAATTTTCTAAGCATATTTCCTAATTTGGTATGCCATCTTGTCTGGTTCATATAAGTTTTCTAGCTTGAGGAATCTATGACTTTGTGTTTACATTTAACAAATACAGCTTAATTAACTTGTTAGTTGATTTTTCAGCTAATCTAGAATTGAAAAAATAATAATGTGCAGTCGAGATTATGAGTTGTAACTAAAAAAAAAACCTATATCCAATTAGCTCTTAGACGCCTCTTGATTAATGCTATAATTTGGTACTAAGCTCACATGCTTGTTAATTCTGTTATTCTTGTATGCCGTCTGCGAACGGAATTACTTGACTTTTTGTTTCTTTTGTTATCCTCTTTCCTATGTCCAACAATGTGCCAATGATTATTGCAGATAGCTTCATATTTGGTATTCTTAGTCAGTAGGTAAGATTCTCGAGTCTTCAGCTTTTAACAATTGCTTAAAAACTAAGGCCGCCTATATTAACAGTGATAATTAGTAATACTCCTGCTATTTATCAATCTTCAGTTTCCTTTCCTATTGCTGATTAATGTCTTGCCTTGATCCAATTTCCCACAATTATCAGCCAATCAAGGGTGGAGCTAGGGTGGTGGAAGGGGTTCATCTGAATCCCCTTACGCCGAAAAATTATACTATATATGTAAGGTCAAAATTAGTTTTTTATGGTATAAATAGTAGATGTTGAATCCCCTTGGCTTGTTCGTGCGTTTACTTTTTAATAAGCCGAATCTCCGCAGAGCCAATCACCTCGTCTTTGATTTCATCCTTTTCCTGTGTCTTGACTGGGTCTTCGTCCTTCCTTCCTTGGCTTACTGCTGAGCATCTTCTGTGTTTGCACTTCTGTCTTTAATTGAATCCGGAAGTCATTGAATTATTCTACATGTTCATGTCAATCATAGAGTTTTGAGTTAGTATAGAAACTTAATTTAAATTGTCATCTTTAAAATCATTCTAACAGAGATGGTTGATTATGATATACTTAATAGTTTGTCTATCATTTTTGTGTGTCAACTTTCTGCAGATTGATTTATTCACAGATCTTGCATAGATCTCTGAAGGTTCTTTGCAGAAGTACAAACAGAGGTGATTGATTATGATGTTGTAACTTCGCTGATAGGAACAATATATCAGCTTTCACAATCCAACTTAGACTTGCAGGAGGGTCATAAAGAACATTTGAAATCACTGTACGAGAAGTTTGGCTCTCTGCTAGAGTTTCTTGACAATCCTGATGACGAATTTGGCTCTTTGCCATAGAATTAAATTTCTTTGAATTCTGAATCGAGTCATCGCATTTTGAAGAGACTTGATTGAAGATGTGAATAGTTCCTGCCATGTGATGATTGCTTGTATGTTGAGTTCATATTTTTGTTAAATAATTAATTTAATTATATTAGCCCACAATATTTATCTGGACCTAAATGGTGACATAGTCATCTTCTCTTCAGTCAGTGATGATCTCTTAATGGTGACGAAAAGGCGACATAGTCATCTTCCTGAGACCAAACCAAATGGTTATTACAGGGTATGAACACACTAGTTGATTTTTCAGCTACCAATTATGAAGGCGTAGTTGACTTGACATATTCTAAATCAGTAGTGGAAGACAACTACAATATTTAAATTGCAATTAGCTAAGTTCTGTAGGAAACTTCAGTGAAATTTTCAACAAGTATTTAGCAAATGACCACCCTTTGATATACGATAGACCCTCGGCTCCTTCCCTCCAAGAACTCCCCATCTTGCTCTTGGGGTGACTCGAACTCACAACCTCTTGGTTGGAAATGGAGGGTGCTTACCACTAGAGCAACCCACTCTTGTCATCTGAAGGTTCTTTGCATAACTAGAAATAGATATGGCTGCTCATGCTGCTGTTACTTCTCTGATGGGAATAATGCAGCAGCTTCCACAATCCCGCTTAGACATTCAGCAGGGTCATAAATTACTTTTGGAATTACTCCACAAGAAGGTTGGCTCTCTGCTAGAGTTTCTGGACAATTCTGATGATGAACCAATGAAGGATTTGCAGAAAAAGGTCAAAGATCTAGCAAATAAAGTAGAGGAAAAAGTCGAATCACACATTCAAAGAGAGTCTCAGAAGACGCTTCTTAAGATGTTGCAGCGAGTCTTCCACCTTCCATCAAAGTCCCATGAGAGACTTTATAAGATCTTGCTACAAGCTATATGTGCTGTTGATTCGATCAAGGAAAAGCTCATCAAACAGATGAAGAATAACAACTTGCAAGCTGTAAATCATTCAATCAGTGGTTCTAGTTCACCACGATTGCATGTTTCAACCCTCGTGAACGATATGGTTGGGTACAACATTGAACAAGAGCGCATGCGGAGTCAACTTACCAGACACGCATCTCAACTGGAAGTCATTTCTATTGTTGGGATGGGCGGCATAGGTAAGTCAACTTTTGCCAGTAAGATGTTTTCTGATCCCTCAATTTTGAGCTTCTTTGATGTTCGTGGATGGATTACTGTGTCCAAGAACTACAGTTTAAGAAAGATGCTTCTAACCCTCCTTCAAGACACTGTTGGGGTGGCCAAAGAGCTTGATGAGAAAAGCGATGGAGAGCTAGCAGATCGCTTGCAAAAAAGTTTAAAGGGTAGAAGGTATTTGATTGTTGTGGATGATATATGGAGTAGGGAAGCCTGGGATGATGTTAGATTATGTTTTCCAGAAAACAATAATAGAAGTCGGATATTGTTGACTACTCGAGACATGAAGGTTGCTCAATATGCTAGCTCTCCTAAGGATCTGTTTCCAATGCGTTTCCTAGAGCCAAAGGAAAGTTGGCATTTGTTTTGCCAAAAGGTGTTTGGCAAAAACGATTGTCCAACTGAATTTGAGAATGTCGCGAAGGAAGTTGTAAGTAATTGCAAAGGATTACCACTAATGATTTCTGTGGTTGCAGGGACTCTCTCTAGCAAGAAAACAATGGATGAGTGGATCAAAGTAGCTCAAAGTGTGATCTCATCAGTAGATCTTGATGATTATCAGTATTGCTCAAGAGTGCTTCGTTTGAGCTACAATCATCTTCCTTCTTATTTGAAAGCTTGCTTTCTTTATTTTGGAGTTTTTCCAAAAGCTAGTGAGATTTCTGTGAAGAAATTGACTAGATTATGGATTGCCGAAGGTCTCTTAGAGCTAAAGGGGTCTGAAGGATTGGAACAAGTAGCTACTAATATTTTACATGATCTTATTGATAAAAGTCTGGTTGTTGTTAGCAAGAAAAATTTGGATGACAAGATCAAGACATGTAGGATTCATGATCTTCTCCATGATTTATGCTTGAGAGAAGGTGAAAGCGAGAATCTTTTGTATGTTGCATACCTAGGATCTAGAAGGGTTTCCTCTCAAGGCCGATGGGTGTCAGTTAATCCAGAGCGAGGTTATGATTCTTATGCGCTTTTGGAAAATCTTACTCATAGCAAAATACGTTCTATTCATTTTCATCCCACTGATCTGGTGCGACATCAATTATCTATTAAACTATTCCATTTTAAACTTCTTAGAGTACTGGACTTGGTGACAATAAGATTAGTTTCATTCCCTATTGGAGTAGTACACCTAGCTTCTTTGAGATATTTGGCTGTGGTGGTTAATTTTGAGACTTCTGAACATCAATCAATTTCCAATCTTTGGAATTTACAAACTTTTATTTTTTCCATAAGTCTTCCACAAATCGATCTTGTGCATTTACCAAATGGAATTTGGGAAATGTCTCAATTGAGGCATCTTCACTCTACAAGGATGTCTCTATATTCTCCTCCAAAGGTATCAGCTAATGAAGTTAAGTACCGCGTTTTGGAAAACTTACAAAGTGTTTCTGGGTTGAGTCCTTGTTGTTGCACAAAAGAAATATTTGAAGGGATTAAAAATGTGAGAAAATTGGGTATTTCTGGCACTGAAGACGAATTTGATTATGAGCCTATATGCTTAGATAATCTAATATATTTACACGAGCTTGAGGAACTAAAAATCGCATCATACATCCTTACCAGATATGATGTACTTCTTAGTCTTCCATTCGCAAGTTCTTTCCCACCTAATCTCAAGAAGCTGACACTCCGCAAAACTTTTCTACTGTGGAAGGACATGACGATCATTAGCAAGTTGCCCAAACTTGAGGTGCTCCAGTTGAAGGCTGATGCCTTTGTAATTAGTTATCCCGTAGATACAGTCTGGGAAGTAACAGAGATGGGATTTCTTGAATTGAAGTTCTTGCTCCTTGAGTGGTTGGATCTTGATTACTGGAGAGCCGCTGATGATTATTTCCCATGCCTTGAGCACATAGTTATCAGAAACTGTCGTACGTTAAAAGAGATTCCTGAAGGATTTGCAGATAGTTTGACACTGCAGCAAATTCAGTTACATCGATGTACTTCTTCCCTTGTGACTTTTGCTGAGCAAATCCAAGAAAATCACGAGAGTTTGGGGAACAACATGCTTAAAGTTTATTCCTTCGACACAATTCGAGGTAAGTAGAACAATCTGGAATGGCTCTTCAACATCCATTATATGTGATTGACCTTTTTTTTTATATGTAGTTTCAGTGAATGGGTGTATAAGGAAGAGGATGAACTATACAGGAAGTAATTTTTGAGGGGTCAAATGTCTTGTACATCAACATTAATCTCCGAAAACAATCAAATACTCTGGTCGAAGTATTTGTTCTTTCAATGTAAAAAGTTTAAGCATTGCACCTTTCCATTAAAATAGAAATGTCATAGTCCATTTTTATTTTATTCATTTTTCAACTGCTTTTCTCAACTGTAACTTAGCATTAAACTACATGTGTTTTAGAATACATTGTGCATTGTTTAGTTCAAAACTGGGACAGCAAGGACTAAATTGAAATTGATGGCACTTGAATTGTTGCAAAGAAAAAAGAAAAAAAAATTGGTCACCTATATCTAGGAAAATCAGGGGAACATTTTGAACAATTGTCGTCTGTTGAAGTTAAATATGTTAAATCTTTTTAGAAGTGTAGTCAAACCTCTATATAACAGTCTCCTTATCAAAAAACAATATATATATATATATATATATATATAACAACCTCATTTGTTCCTGATTGTTTTGGATGTTATAGCGAAATGCTATTATAGAGAACATAAATTATAACATAACATGAAAATTGGTTCCATAAAAAACTTGGCTTTTATAATGAATAGCTGTTATATAGTGATGCTGTTATAGAGAGGTCTGAATGTATGTGAATATGTATTATATTGAGTTTCTGACTCTGATAATCTCTAACCCTTCACTTTACACTTACTGAAGATTCACTTGTAATGGCCACTGTACAGGGAGAGCTTCTTAGGAAGATGCAGAGGAAATGAGTAAATGAGTTTTGCCAACAAATCCAGCGAGAAAAAGATGTGTTGGTTTTTCAAAAAGGGATTTCTAAGGAATTTGCAGATAGCACCAAACTGCAGCTCGTTGTGTCGTCTCTTCCGTGTGAATTTTGCCAACAAATCCGACGAGAAAAAAGAGATGACACCACTTGTGAAACTTGCTTGTTATAAGTCTTGTTTTTTCTTTTTTCCTGTTCTTGTTTCTAGTCAACTGGGGTTGATTTGATCATCAAAACTTCTCCAGAGAACAAAAGGCTAGCATTATGTGTGGTATTATTCCATAGGCGTATCCAGGATTTGAGCATTATGGGTTCGAGTTCGGTATTCTACCACAACCCATTTGTTTTAATGGATTCGAACTCTATTATTTGTAATTTTTTTCTGGATTTTTAATTTCGACCAAAGATACTGGGTTCGGATGAAACATTAAGTTCTTAACTACATCCGCCCCTTTATATTACTCTGTAATGCTGGTCTCGGATATTATATTCTAATTTGGCCTGTCTGAAGGGTTATTTGAAGATTATTGCACACATTGCTTAAAGGACGTTATTTCTAAATATTCTGCTATCTCTCTCTACCTTAGAAATGTTAGGTCATTGTTTTCATTTCAGCATTGACTTGAACTATAAGCAGAGATCTAATTGGACAAATCTTCTATTTTCCCGCAATAAATGATTGTGGAAGGACATGGCAACCATTAGCTTGTTGCCCAAACTCAACGTGCTCCAATTGAAGAAAGAAGCCTTTCGTTTAAGAATATTCTGGGAAGTAACAGAGATGGGATTTCTGAACTTAAATTCTTGCTCCTTGAGGAGTTGAGTCTTGTTTACTGGAGTGCCGCTGATGATTATTTCCCATGCCTTGAGCGCGTAATTATCAGAAATTGCAGGTACTTAAAAGAGATTCCTCAAGGATTCGCAGATAGTGTGACACTACAGCAAATTGAGTTACATGGATGTATTCCTTCCCTTGTGACTTTTGCTGCGCAGATCCAGAAAGAGCAATTGGAGAATTCAGGAAGCGACATGCTTAAAGTTTATGCCTTTGACACAATTAGAGGTAAGTAATCTGAATGAAACATCCATTAGATGTTTGACTTCTGATGAACTGTGTTAAATCATACGATTCTTTTGTGCATAACTACTATATCGTGGGATTCAACAAGATAAGGAAAATTGAATAGTTCGTAACATCTGGTACATGTGATTATCATGTTAGGGCCTTTTGTTATGATATAAAGGTTCAGTATAGAATTACTGCACGTATTATTAAATATTTCTTCTGAACTTATTTTATTTATTTACGTACTATTTATCTGTTCATGCCAAGAATGAAACTCATTCGATAACCTACATCTATGATAATCAGGGGAACGTTTTGAACAATTGTCGTCTGGTTGAATTTAGATATGTTTAATCCTTTTAGTGTTTGAGTATGTGTTATTCTGAGCTTCCAACTCTAACTCTTTTTCACTAAAAGTTTACTGACGAGTCACTTTTATGGCCATTCCATTCTACAGAGATAGAGTCTGATGAAGATTATGGGGAAGCAGCAGAGGAAGTTATGGAAAAGGTTGAAGAAGATTCAAAGGAAGATTGAGCAAATGGGTTATAAGGTAAACTGCTGAGGAAAGGTGTCTTGGGTTATATAGAAAAGATTGCTAAGGAATTTGTAGATAGTACCAAACTACGCTTCATTGAGTTGCATAACTGTTTTATCCCCCGTGTGAAATTTGCCAGCGAATCCACAAGTTGTGCTTTAGAATAATTATTAAAATAAAAGAAAATGGTGTGTGAACACCCTTTTTTTCTTTTGTGGAGAAAATAGAACAATGGAAGACATTGTGTCTGTGAACAGAGAGCTCATGAAGCTGAGGGAGAATAATAAGCGAGCTGGAAATTGTTCGCTTGGCACTTCTACTTAATCACAATCACATGCTTCAACCCTCGAGAACGAAACGGTGGGGTACAACATTGAACAAGAGCACATGCTGGGTCAACTTAGGGGACACTCATCTCAACTGGAAGTCATCTCTATTTTTGGGATGGGCGGCATTGGTAAGTCAACCTTTGCCAAAAGATTATTTTCTGATCCCTCAATTGTGAGCTTCTTTGATGTTGTGGATGGATTGTTGTGTCCAAGGACTACAGTATAAGAAAGATGCTTCTATCCCTCCTTCAAGATGCTATTGGGGTGGATAAAGAGGCTGATAAGTAAAGCAATGGAGAACAACCAAATCGCTTGCAGAAGAGCGATGGAGAATTAGAAGATGGCTTGCAGAAAATTGATGATGCACTTGCAGATCGCTTGCAAAAAAGCTTAAAGGGTAGGAGGTATTTGATTGTTGTGGATGATATATGGAGCACGGAAGCCTGGGATGAGATTTAACTATGGTTTCCAGATAATAGTAACAGAAGTCGTATACTGTTGACTACTCGAGACATGAATGTTGCTCAATATGCTAGTTTTCCTAACGATCCTTTTCCAATGCGTCTCCTGAAGCCAAAGGAAAGTTGGCATTTATTTTGCCAAAAGGCATTTGGCAAAAAAGGTTGTCCAACTGAAGTTGAGAATGTCGCAAGGGTAGTCATAGAAAATTGCCAAGGATTACCACTAATAATTTCTGTGGTTGCAGGGACTCTCTCTAGCAAGAGGACACTGGACGAGTGGAGGGAAGTAGCTCAAAGTGTTAGCTCTTTAGTAAACCTTGATGATTATGAGCGTTGCTCAGGAGTGCTCTCTGTATTTCGGAGTTTTCCCAAAAGCTAGTGAGATTTCTGTGAAAAAGTTGATTAGATTATGGGTTGCGGAAGGACTCTTAGAGCTAAAGGGGCTCGAGGAGCTGGAGAAATTGGGCTCTAGTCTTTTACATGATCTTATCGATAAGAGTCTAGTTGTTGTTAGCAAGCGAAGTTTGGATGGCAAAACCAAGACATGCAGGATTCATGATCTTCTCCATGATTTATGCTTGAGAGAAGCTGAAAAGGAGAATCTCTTGTACGTTGTTAATCCTTCAATTGCTAAAGGACACCGAACTGTTTTCCCTAAAGGTCGTCGGTGGGTGTCACTTCACTCAACGCGAGGTTTTTCTTCTCCTTTTTGTTTTGGTGATCTTACTCATAGCAAAACGCGTTCTCTTCATATTTCTTTCACCATAAGCATAGACTATCTTGCATTAAGACTAAACCATTTCAAACTTCTTAGAGTATTGGACTTGGAAAAAGTGGGCTTCGACAATTTACCTAGAGAAATAGTACACCTAGTTTCTTTAAGGTATTTGGCTATGATAGTTCGTACGATTCCTAAAGATCTACCAATTTCTAAACTTTGGAATTTACAGACCTTTGTTTTCCCTCAATATTTTCCAAATACATGCCATACCATATATTTATCAAATGAAATTTGGGAAATGTCTCAATTGAGACATCTCCACTCTTCGAAGATATATTTGAATTCTCCTCCAAAGGTATCATCAGCAAATGAAGTTAAGTATCGGGTTTTGGAAAACTTGCAAAGTGTTTATGGGTTGAGTTCTTCTTGTTGCACAAAAGAAATATTTGAAGGGATTAAGAAAGTGAAAAAATTGGGGATTTTTGGCAAAAAAGATGAATATGATGGTAAGTCCAGATACCTAGATAACCTAATATATTTACATGAGCTCGAGGAGCTAAGTATTAAATCTTACATGTCTAGTTTCGTAAGGCTTCCACGTCTGGATTCTTTCCACCAAATCTCAAAAAGCTGACACTTAACGACACTGGATTGATGTGGAAGGACATGACTGTTGAAATTGTCAAAAGTCCCACATCGGTGGATGACAATTTTGAATGGGAATTTCACCCT